CCTCATCCCTGACCCGCTCCTCCCACTTCTTCCTCTCCCCTCCTCGTGTACCCTCTAAGCTGCATTGCAGCAAAGCTTCACAGCTGATTAATCAAGCCCGCCCTGTCAGAGGCTCAGAGCTCCCTGTATGGAGCTGACTGATTGGGCAGGGCTGATTAATCACCTGTGAAGCTGTGCTGCAATGCAGCTTAGAGGGAACATTGCTCCTCCTGCCTCCCAGGTTCTTTCCCCATTCCCTCCCCAGATACTTTTACCCCAAATTTTTTTAAAAAAAGTTTATTCTTTCCAAACCCAGAAGTGTGATTTATTATGTCTGCAGGAGGAGGGGAGGGGGGGAGGAAAGTAGGAAAGGAGGGCAGGGGTGTGGGAGAAAAGGCACAAAGGGGCACTGCAGAGGCCCCTTGTGGAGAGACCCAGGAGAGAGTCTCATAGCTGGCACTGGCTCAAACTCTCTCTCAGGGCCTCCCCAATGTTCATAGCCCCCGATGGGTTTGCTGGATGGCAGCTGTGCACAGCTGATCAAAGACCCTTGCAAGCTGCTCGGCCTCTGCCCTCCACCATGGCAGGAACGTCTCCTCCTCATTTTCACACAGGTTGTGCAGGATGCAACAAGCCACCACCAAATGAAGGACATTCCACTTGCCAAGGTCCAGGTAGGTGAGGAGACAATGGAACCTCCTTTTAAGATGGCTGAAGGTACCCTCCACAACCACATGGGCCCTGCTGAGCCTGGCGTTAAAACGTTCTTTCTTGGGGTCAAGGTGCCCAGTGTAGGGCTTCATTAGCCAGGGAAGCAGAGAGTAGACTGCATCCCCCATGATCCACATGGGCACGTCCACATCCCTGACCCAGACGTGCGGTCAGGGAAAAAAGTGCCAGCATGCATCTTCTGGAACAGGCTGGAGTTCCTGAAGATGCAGGCACCATGCGCCTTCACCAACCACCCAAAGCTGATGTCCTTGAAGCAGCCTTAGTGGTCCACGACTGCCTGCAGGACTATGAAAAAGTACCCCTTCCGGATGATGTAGTCCGATGTCCAGTGGTCAGAGGCCCAGATGGGGATGTAGGTGCCGTCAATGCCCCCACACACACACAGTTGAGGAAGCCCATGGCAGCAAAGCTGGTGGTGGTCCACGTCGCCCAGGCTGATGACCCTGCACAGCAGGAAGGTGTTGATGGCCCTCACCACCTGTAGAAGGAGGCAAACAAACAGAGAATCACAGGGTTGCCAGGGCCCTCAGGAGTTCCCCGAATCCAATCCTCTTTCCCACACACCAGGATCAACCCAACTTACCCCATCCCCTGGCAGGGCTTTGTGAAGATGGGACTGACAAACCTACGAGGAAGGGAAATTCCACCAACCCCACTTCCTTAGGAGACTCCATTCCAGCATTTCACCACCCTCTTGAGACAATAGCACAAGAGCATCATACCTGCATGAGCACGGCCCCGATGGTCCATCTCCCCATGTTGAACAGGTTCCTGACAGAGCAGTAGCTATCTGGCGTGGCGAGCTTCCACAGTGTGATGGCAACCCACTTCTGGATGGGGATGGCGGGTTGCATGTGGATGTCCCATTGCCAGAGGGCAGGGGTGAGCCACTCACACAGCTCCAGGAAGGTGTTCTTCCTCATGCGGAAGTTCCAGAGCCATTGCTGGTCATCCCACCACTCCATGACGATCCGGTCCCACCAGTCGGAACTGGTGTTCAGTTGCCAGAAGTGGCAGAGCACAATGTGCAGGGGAGAGTGGGAGGGGCTGTGCTGCATGAGCAGCACAAAGAGAGAGGAGAGGAGATGCCCTGCAGGGAGCGGCAGATCCTGTTCCTCCAGAGCCACAAGGGCAACATGGGCAGTAATTGCATCAGGAGGGGCAGCATGAGGTCTAAGAGCTGACAACTGCTATCCAGCAGGTCTGGCTCCATGGCTGAAGTGCTGTGGTATCCGCAAGGGCAAGCAGAGCACACAGTGGGAAGATTTTGCTGTCCCTCAAGGAGGTAAGCAATGTAGAAGCGCCTAAGATATGTCTGTACGGGGAGGTCCCTTTAAGCACAAGCTTCCGCTAGCCTCAGTCAGCAGCTCCAGGAAGTGACTGCTGTCCTGATGCCCTGCCCAAAGCGCTTCCAGGGGGCTTTATATGCAATTGAGGCGCCAATCAGTGTAGACACGCTAGTTCAAAATAAGCTATTTCACAATTTTTATTCTGAAATTGCTTATTACAAAATTATTACATGTAGGGCTTTCCCATGAAGAGCAATACATAATAAGAAACGCAGATGTAGAGTGACAACAGACTGAACTCTTCATTTATGAAAGGAAAACAGTGGGTCTCCTAC